GCTCCAAGATGGCCGCCCTAAATCTCGTCAGCGACAATAGGCGAGAGCGGACCATGAGGCGTCTATTCTTATATTACGTCTATGAAGAAAAAGCGGGGGAGGATGACGACAACCGGAAATCGCCATTTTCCAGTTGAGCTGTAACGGAAGAAAGATCGAGAAACGTCTACAAAGGTAAATTTGTTATTCAAATATTTAAACAATCGCGGTTATCAAATAATCCTTTATCAACTTATTATTAAAAATGTGTATTTGTACACGTTTGTTTTTTATTACGGATGATTCTTAGGCGTCGAAGCCAGACATTTGGAGTTCGTTAGCTGTTTTTTTTTTAACTTCAACGGGAGTGCTTTGTTGTGTTTTCATTCATACATTTAATCCTTAAATATACCCTTATTTTTTTATTTTTTATTTTTACCAGTTTTTGTTGATTTAGCAGCTTCTGTTATATTTTCGCAGAAAAAGCCTTGGACAGTAACCAGTAATTTATTGTCAGTTCTGGATCCTTGTCGGCTAACAAGCTAACACTGGTTAGCTGTCATTTTAACAGTCAATTTGTTCTCTTTTTGATCAGCGTGCCCACATAATATAGGTTTTCGAAACTGTTTACTTTCCAGATTGCGTCTATCCTAAAGTTACAAATTCTAGATAAGCGTACTGGCACATGTACAAACCGCAGCAATATATTTGTTAGCTAAGCATTTGGTTCGATGGGGGTTGTAATCAGCTGACGAGGTTTAGCTTATGAATATGTAGAGAAAAATGCAGATGTTTATTTTCACACTTTTTGATATCATGATAAAGCTACAAGTGGAGTTCCTCCTACGTTTCAGTTTAAGTCATCAGCTTTCTCTCATTTATACCTAAATGATCGCCACTTAAACAAAAGTGAAACTATTTAAGATATGTGTTCCGCTAAAAGAAAAACGTTTATAAATGCAGACAGAACTGACAAGTTTATAAAATGCAACTTTACCCATTTCTGTCCAAAGGCAGATTCCTTTGTTGAAATTGAATCTCTATTGAATGATAAGAGCAATTATTTTCCGATTCTTCCTCATTGTAAGGATTTCTGGGTGATGCATCATTTTTGAATGGGCACAAGTTTACGAAATAAAAAATATAAAAAAAAAAATATTTCAAATTTTCGCTATTACATGACTTTATTCACTTTTACAAAACAATAAAGCTATTGTCAAAACTCATATTTGAAAAACTATTTTGAATACATTTTATAATATTTTTACTTTTTCAGCTAAAGGTGAATCAGTAGTTTTTTTATGTGTGTCCTACTGGTTAATTCAGCTATTAATGTGACTGTGTTGTTTCAAGGCTTTCTAAGAATTACTATGTGGGTGGCACCTATCACACACCTCAGGGGACTCCCACATTAATTACAGTGATATTTTTAACATAAATGAATCAGACACTTTGTAGTGGGCTTCTTTGAGCTTGCTTGATGTGCAGCTCCCTTTACTTGTTCGTTTGCCTCATGTCATTAGCTAATCGGAAGTCCTTAGTTGCCATTGGCATGTAATCTTGATATTTATTAGGAGTGCATTGACATGAAAATGTGGACCAGTATCGGTATCTGATTTTAATTTTGTTGCCATAGCTGGTATGTCATATTTACTGATATAAATGTATTTTCATACTCTTCTTGACACCATTAATAAAAAAATAAAAAAAACAACTACTGCTGACATTGTTTATCTGCTTTGTTTAGACATTTCACATGTTGAAACAAACGTGTTCCCTCCAAAACACATACAGAAACAAGATGGGGAATAAAACTAAGTTTTACGTAGGGTCTGATGCAGATTTGTTAAAAAATTGCTAACTTTGAACTGATACTGTAAGAAAATAGTCTGACAATTCTGAACATTGTATAATACAACCAGTGGCAGAATGTCGCATCAAATTTTATATGGCATCTTGAACGTGGAGTTTTGTTTCTCTTTAACAAAACTAGAAGCTTGGCGCTCAATCCAGGCGGTCTGTGTGGAACACTGTGGCATATTTTCAAGGAATTTGCTTCCTTCAGCTTTGAGGTCCTTATCTCTGTTACAGTCTTGACCTGGAGCATGGAGCAGCGCAAAACAAGCTTAGACATGCTTTCCCCGATTTATCCACAAACTTTGTGTATGTAACCTTCAAGACACGGCAACAAAACCGTGGAAGGGAAACGAGAATTTAAATGCGTTATTTTTTGCTGTGGTTTATGTCATTTTGCAATTGTTCACTGGTCAAATGAAATGTTAAAATGTGGGGTAAAAAAAAATGTGAGGAAGTTATCTGGGTGCTGTTTGTAAAGATAAGGTGACTATTATCAGATTGGACTTTAAGGAAGTTGTGATTAACCCAGTTCAGTTTGTTAATAAGTACATTTCTGTACTCAAATCCTTTGTACACAACAGTAGAGATGAGATGGACATTAACATTGATACTAGCCTATATTGATGTCATAGAAACACATTATACATATTTATTTATTTATTTATTTTGCTCGGTTTAAAAAGTACCTTTTGTGTAACTAAGACAGTAATGAACTGCATTAAAAAAAAAAAAAAAACACCATTATGGAACATGAGTGGAAGTAGGATCCAAAAGGAATGGATGTGGTTATAGATTTAATTGTGGAAATTATAGTGACGATGGTCATGTCAATAGATATGATGTGCAATTCTTCTCTGTGAAGCAAAAGGGAGAAAAATATTTCTCAAGTTATTTTATTTATTTAAAAAATGTGTCATATCATATTTTATGGCACCTCCTGACTGAACGAAATGAAACCCATTCATTCGTAAGTTCGTCCTTGAGTATTCAAGGGTTTCCTAGAGGCAAATGTATGAGGGGGTTTTCTTCTTCATACTTTTCAAGTAAATGCTTTTAAGGGAAATTATTTTGCTGTTTTGTCAACAACAGCTTCAAGGAAATCAAGCGAATGACAGAAGTGTGTTTTGCAGTTTCATTAATGTGCAAAAAAAAAAAAAAATACAGGAAACGACAACAACCAGCAACTGTCTGAAAGCGTCTTTAAATAAACGAAAGATGAATTTGGGCCAGAGGATGTGACATTTAAGATCATGTACATTTACAGGTTATACCTTACAGACACCATCTGTAAGTTTTAGTTGAAGGCTGGTTCTGTTTAGCCACCAGCCATTTTAGAGACGTTAACCTTCAGTTTTGTGCGTCTCTGCAGGTACACCAAGATGGGGAACTTTTCCAGCCTCTTTAAGGGACTGTTTGGAAAGAAAGAGATGCGGATTCTGATGGTCGGACTAGATGCTGCCGGTAAGACCACCATCCTGTACAAGCTCAAACTGGGAGAAATCGTTACCACCATTCCTACCATCGGTGAGTCGTCTTCTGTCTCATTATTACTTTATAGCTCGACGCCTACATTTTACATTGGCTCTGAAAATATATGTATATATTTTTTCTTGTTCTAAGGTTTTAATGTTGAGACTGTAGAATTCAAGAATATCAGTTTTACGGTTTGGGATGTTGGTGGCCAGGACAAGATCCGGCCCCTCTGGAGGCATTATTTCCAGAACACACAAGGTGAGAGATGTGATGTTTCTACGCTGTCGTCTCAGCACCAGCACTTTTCTGCTAAAACTTCCTTTACATTTGAAAGTTCTTTGTTTTCCTCCCTCATATAAATCCTCTTCTTTTCAGGCCTTATCTTTGTGGTGGACAGTAATGACAGGGAGCGAGTGGGCGAAGCAAAGGAGGAGCTGATGCGAATGCTGGCAGAAGATGAACTGAGGGATGCCGTGCTGCTTGTGTTTGCTAATAAACAGGTTAGCATCCAACATGGACCTCCACAGAGGTTTCTTTCCTGATCACAACTCATAAAGTGACTTAATGTACTTAGGAAATATTTAAGTTTAGGCTAAACGTTGTTCTTCAGGTGGTGTTTCGTTGGTCACTTTTGATTAAAAGGTCTAAAACAATTAGACTAATTATGCAGGTTTCGTGTTAAATGGCTTATTCAGGAACACCAGTGAATTCAGTTGTCCTAGTCTAATCAGGTTTAACATTCGGCTGGTCACGTGCATCCAATTCTCTCCGTTCATATCGGACAGTGTAAAACTTGCCTTAAATTTGCACGCGAAAATCTGACCCTTTGTTTTGTTTTCATCGTCATCTTATTGATTTTTTTTTTTTTTTTTTTAATCTGGTAGGATTTGCCAAACGCCATGAACGCAGCTGAGATCACCGACAAGCTGAGCCTTCACTCTCTCCGTCACCGTAACTGGTACATCCAGGCCACATGCGCTACCAGTGGAGACGGGCTGTACGAGGGTCTGGACTGGCTTTCGAGCCAGCTAAGGAACGCAAAGTGATCCATTGTGCCGCGTCTCCATCTGCCAGCTCTGCCTGCAGTGTTTCTTGGGAGGCTGCACATGGCCTAGATGTACTTCTTTACTCTCCTCTTTCCTCAGTTTCTTTTATTTTTTATTTTTTATTTTTTATTTTTTTTTGGAGCTTTGGCCAGTGCGCCCCTACATCAGTGTACTGTATGTGTGTGTTTGTATAAGTATTTTTGAGTGAATGAATGAATGTGCAGAAGTGGCAGCAGTCCTGCTGTGCCTTGAACACAGTTAGCTCTCAGTCACTTCTCATTCCTCCAGTGCCAGCAACACCCAAAGGCTGCTGGTATCCGTAAAGCAAAAAGCAATGCACGATGCTGAGTGCTCTGTCTTCTAAAAAAGAATGTCTAAGAAAAAAACAACAACCAAAAGGTAATAATTCAGCTTTTTTTATTTGCTGGGAGCTTTTCCAACATCAGTTTATTCACCTAGAAAAAGATGCTTTGTGTATCATCTAACAACCTAGAACAGTTGAGGATGAAAACAAAATTTTAAATGTCGCTATATATTTAAGATCAAAGACATAAAAGCACGCAACAACCGTTTAGTTTTATCTTTTAACTCCCTAGTTTGCAGGTTTCTAGTGATCAGAATGTAAATGTATTCAGTGCCAATTTATGTCAGAATGTTCTAATGGGCGGAAACTTCTTCCATTCAGTTCAGACGCGGGTCTGATATTAAGTATTTCTTTTTGGCCTCATTTGTCTTTTGACTAAATCGTATTTGTTCCGTGTAAAAGATCCACTGCGACTGGATCTGGTGACGGCAATAAATGTTGCAGCGCATGTTTACATATATGGAGGAGTGTTAACTATTGCATGGTTCGTAACCTTAAGGCTTGTGTGGGTTTCAGCTCCACAGAGCCAACTGCTATGACAACTTGCTCCCACTCTGGCTCTTTATTTAGAAGTAGACTTCATTTGCTCTTGTACGTACAGTAGTTCATTGGTTAGGGTCTGATGATTATAGCTATTCTATTGTTATTGGGTTTTTTGGGGGGAGGGGGGGGTTTCTTCATGCATTTCCTGGTTTATCTTAGTCTGAGCTGCTGGGTGTGCTGTCCTTTTGAGTATAACCTTCTCGGGACCAAGTCAGTTGCAGAAAAGTCTCATTATGTTCTGTTTTGGATGTGTCTGCATTAGGAGGTTTGCAAGTTCCTTTTTTTTTTTTTTTTTAGTTTTCGTTATTACTGTGTTAGACGGTACATGTTGAATAGGAAGTGTATAAATCAGCCTTACAAATACATATTTAGTGCTTCAAGCTTCTTGCTTCAGGGCAGAGTTACTTCCTCTGCTCATTTACAAGAAATGATTTTACCGTATTTTACAGCCACATCAGCTTGCACAATACGGACTTGTGTGATGACGGCTGTTTTTTTTTATCTCTCAGCCATGGCAGTGAACTCGCATGCAGTAACACTCTCCATTGCTCTACACCAGCAGATAGTTGAATGTGCCAGTTAGTTTAACCAGAGTAGTCACTCCAATTTGTCCCAAAGTCCTCTGCTATGAGAAATAAAATCAATCTTGAACAGTACACACTGAGTGAAGATGCCTGCACAGTTATGTTACACTGACCTCAGAAGGGAGCTTCAGGTTCCTTTTTTTTTTTTTTTTTCTACAACTGGATATTTCAATGTTTTGGGATCATTATTATTATTATTTTTTTATGTTGTAATATCTTTGTACTTGCGTCACAGTATATCTTACAACGGTTTAGTCCAGTTGAAAACGTAAATGGAAAGAATTTGAAATTATAATAAACTGTTATCAAAGTGTTAACTTGATGTCTTTTATCATCTTATTTGGTCAGATCTGAAGCTTTAATTTGCAGCATCATTTCTGTACAAAAGACTTGTGTTCATATTCCTTTATCTCATTTTTATGCTTTTTTTTAAATAATTAAAAAAAAACCTTGTCCTGTAACACCGAATAAATGCACTATAATAAAGAGAATCTCTATTGTACACTTTTTATGGTATCCTCATTTATATATTTGAAAGATTATTGTACTTTTGGAATGCTTTAATACAAATTAGTATTTTCAAATAAAATTATCTTCACGCCTACTGGCATTCATTGCTCTAATTTTATATTTCAAAACGGCTGACATTCCTTGCTATTGCCGCTAGAGGGCAGTGTATTATTAAAAACCTTGGTAACATGGCGCTAAATATCTTTACAACACGTAGAATATGTTCTGAATGTTCTGTAAAACAGCTTATGCGAAAGAGTGAACTCGCTCACGCATGTCAGAGTACCGGTAGTTTGAAATTACATCCGTCTTACAACATTCACTCGTCAGATCTGTATCGACTGTAATCCCATCAGTGGTTTGAACATTGTGCACAGTTTGAGATGAGAAATCGACTCAGTAGAGAAAATGTTTTCTGAATCCTCAGCTGTAAACCAGTCTGTGCCGTTGTCTGCGTTAGGACAATAAATCCTTTGCTTACTGACAGAAATCAGTGGTTTAAAGGGGGATTTCTAATTCTCCCACTGTCAACACACCTCACTTCACCCTCCATTTCTGCACCATCTGAAATTCAGGTGGCCAACTCTCCAAAGAGTTGTTACCTTGGCAACAGCACCCTATGTATTTATAGGGAGTAAGTAAGCAGATGTTAAAAAGGAGTGCAAGGGACCAGACATGGACCATGATGTGTCTCCTTATATAGCTTTAAGAGCACAAGCAGGAGTAGAAGCTGAATGAGATCACACACATTTAATTTGACACGGCTCCTTAATTAAGAAGACTAGCATGATCAGATCCTAACAGCAATAATTTCTCACCTTGCATTAGCAGCTGGTGCCCTCACTCCTGGAATTGCAAGGTGCTTAACGACCTAATCGAGGTCTTTTTTTTTTTTCTTTAAAACTTGCTTGGTAATTGAAGTGGAGCTGAGGTAATTTTCTTGTCTCCCCAATGCATCAGAGTCCATTTCATTTCTCTGTTACATTTGCCATTATCCCATTTTTCCCCTGACCCTTTCTTTCTCTTGCTCTCTGTTGTACTCTTACTGAATTGAGCTAAAAACTATTAGAATAAGATGTACATCACACACAGCATTGCACTTGACCTTTAACAGGTGCCCTGCTTCCACTAAGTCTCATTCAAAAGAGTGACATCATGCTTGTTAGTTTCATAGCATATTAGCTCTAAATATGTGTATAAATGGAATTTTCAGCATCTCTTTTGTTATAGATGTCTGCATCACCATGAACTCTGAGTTGGATGAATAATGTACTCAGGTAATGAAGAGTGAATCTCGATTCTTATGTCTAAAATACTTCTATATTTAATATGAAACTCATATACAAGTTCATTACACGCAGCATGATCTATTTCACCCATTTATTTCTGTCTTTTGCAAGGTACTGTTGCAGTACAGCTAATGAAAACCCAAAGTTCAGTTTCTCTGACAATTTCAGTTTTAGATTGTAAGAAAGGTCATTGTAAGAAAGATATTTCACAGAAATGTTTTCGTACTCAAATCTATGTCCATGCGCTGTACAGTATTTTAGCTCAATACTCAGTTGAAGCTTTTTTAGCAGGGGTCTCTGCATCAATGCAACATGACGGTGGTCAGCCTGTGGCTCTCCTGGGGTTTTAAAGAAGCAGAGGTTGCTTTAATAACAGCATTCAGCTTTCCTGCATTGTTGGCTGTGGTGTCTCTCATCTTCCTGTTGGCCACATCCCATCAATTCTCAAAGAGGTATTATATCAGACCGGTCAGTCCTTCACAGTGATACTTGGGTCATTTATTAGTTATTTAGAGACTTTGGTTTCAGCATGTACTAAAGGTTAAGGTATTTTTGATGTATGTCCCTTGCTTAGCTTTGATAACATAACATATATGTAATAGATGATGTTATGTTTTTGCTGTTTGATAATCTGCCACTAAATCTTTTGAATTAAATCATTGTTTGTCTAAATTCAAGCTCTGGAAACTGACACAGTTTTCGTCTATGTTTACGTCTATGTTTAATCTAAAACAATACATTATGAAACCATACTGAAACACTAAAAATAGAGAAATGTTATGTTGAAGCATATGCCATGTCCGTGTCAGCTACATACAAAACAGTGTCATTAGCATACATATGAAAAAATCCACCAGGACGAATTGGAAATTACTTATGGACACATTAAAAGTAAGTGGACCAATAACTGAGCCTTGGGGTACACCCTTCATTTGGAAGTAATGCGATATAATTTAAGCCACTTTAAGGAAAACTTCTCAATCATTTCTGATTGAGCAGTGAATTGAAATAACTAAAAAATAACTGTGTACCTCCCTCTAATTTACTGAATGGGCTTTGCTTCACAAACATTTAGAAGCTGAAGTTATCATTGTTCTTTGTGCATGTTTTTTTTTTTTCGACCCCATTTTTTCATTCCGATTAACTTTCCATCAATATGTTTGAATGCAGCACTCTGTGAAAAGCCATTTTTTTAGAAACAGTGATCTCTTGAGGCTTGCCCTCCTTTTGGGAAGTGTCGGTGACCTCTTCATTGTTGTGTAGGCCAGGAAATTGGCCATGACATCACATTTCTGCATGAAAATCTTTTTTAATGAGTCTTTATTTAAAATCTCTGTGAACTGAATTTTGGGGTTGGTGTAATGGATCGTAAAAATTAACATAAATGTCTGGCGAATATCACATTTTGTGTACTAAATCGCCTACTATGTAGTACAGAGTGTACTACATAGTATACGACTTTTGCTTTTTGAAAGGAATAACTAAAATAGAAAAAAACAACTTGATGATATATTAATCGAATGAAATGCCCCTGTTTGTGGAAAAAATTTAATTGATGTTTTTCCTTTTAACTTCTTCAGGGTTTTAATTTTAAAGGCTCAAAGGGGTTACATTTTGTAATCTGTCATAAAAACAATGAATTAACATTTTCTTCACCTTTTCAGTGACATTTATTGTCCATCAGATTGATGTTCTGTCCCTAGGTGGGGGGTTTATAAATGGACCTGTCAGATGAAACAACCTTTAAAGCAATACATTCACCATTATTAAAATTAAAGTAGTGCTCAAGCAACTGTTATTACATGCAACAAACTAATCAGTCAGATTATTTTTCTGGAGACTCAGTCAATCGACACATTTTGCCTCTAAATAGATGACTTTTACATGTGATAACTTGTGCTTGCATCATTGTAATAGCCTTTTTACTGACAGGAAAAATCTATAAACCTCCTCCACCACCAGTGACCTCCTCCCAGGGGAAACCTGTGCTGCAGCATTATTTTTCATTGATCTGGTTCAATAAAAGGACACTGAAAATCAATTGTAAAGGACAGGAAAATAATTTATTTGTTTTAAGCTACAGATGGCTACTCTGC